ATTTCATTACAGCAAATATTTCACTAAGAACTCTTTCCTTCACCCCCCAGCATCCAAAGCAAGCCTGCTGGAAGCCACTGGTTTCACATTTGGCCAGCACAAAGGATTAGACACTCTTCCACAGGGAGGAAGATGTGCACGGGGAGGTGCATTTCCATCTGGAACTGCGCGTGGTGCTACTCACGTACCGAAGCCACTGACGGATTACATTATTTGCTTGTAGTGCTGCTCAGCCCCAGATTACACAAAGAAAAAAGGCATTTTCTCCACGTGGAAGAATAGAAGCTGCACAGAGCAGGGAAAGGGAGAGGTCTGAGGTCTTTTTATTGCTGGCTGCAGACGGGAGATGGTCAGAGACTGTCGACGATGTGGTTCAGTGCTGTACCAACAGGGCAACTGTAACTCAACCTGGGAACTGTTCTGAGCCCTGCTTTCTGTCAAATGGTGATCACAACCCCCCTGAGCTCCCCCTGAGAGCACCCACGCCCACACCTTGCCTCCCCAGAGGTGTGCCAGAGGGAAGGAAGGAGCATCAGAGCAGAAAGCTTCTCCCAGCAGGGGTCAGGGCTGCGGCACAAATTCGGGAGAACGAGCAGCGCTTCCCCAGCTCTGCCCCAAAAGAACGAGCCCTTCTTCTTGGCAGTCACAGCTGTCAAAACCACACAAAGGCAACTCGGCAACCAGCACCAAGGAACTTCTCACAAAAGTTGAGCTCCCGATAACACTCCCGCTTCTTGCTAATTACCTTTTTAGTGATAAGCTGTCAAGATATTTGTGTTTAAAAGACTGATCTACCTGTTAATCTGCAGAGTGATGCAGGGCAACCGCGTACACGGGACTCTGACGGCCTCCTTCCCCCCAGGGTGTGAGTTTTGAAAGCAAATACATCTTTAGGGCTGTCTTAAAAGAGGACAGGGGACAGCAAGGTGAGGCAAGCAGAAGAGAAGCCGGGATGAGGAGAACTGCAATGTAAAACAAATAGGCTTCAGTATTACCAAACCAGAGGAAATTAATGCATGTGTCAAACCCAAGGGTACAATTCCAGCACAGGACTAAACACCTGCCTGAATGTGACATATTCCCTTATTTGAAAGGGACAAAGGACACTGTCAGGTTAAGGTATGAGGTATTCCCAGACAGCAGGCGCAGAAGCTTGCCTTTTGTACCCAAAAAAAGAAAAACTAGTAAATCTCTTTGTCTGTTCACATTCTTCTCACGTCCCATGACTGAACTGGAAGTTTTTCACTGATGAACTTTCTGGTCTGGCTGGTTACAGCGGCTGTCCTTAAGCACTGGATGGCATTAGTAGGGTTGGTATAAAAAATAAAGAAATGCTCTTTTCTCTCCCCTACCTATGAGGCCCATGAAGCCACCACAGCAGGAGTACAGCAAGAAACAGTCTGTTTGGTTCATCCATCATCAGCAAAACTGTCAGTTCAGCTCCAACAGCAAAATATTTATTACTGGTTATGATGCAAAAGGCAGAAACCACACGGTCTGATTTCCCCAGATCTGAGGCTGAGTTTGCAATACCAGCAGTTGGAGGGGAAATAATTTTGACTTTTCACTGAGCCAACTTGATCTGGAAATTGTTGAGAGCAAATAAATATGGAATCCCACTGTGGCATTTCTGCAGTCGCTCTCTCCAGCTACAACCACCTCTCTCTTCTTTCCTGAGCATCAGTGATTAGTATTTGGCACATGTAAAAAATCAGCTATTCCCTGAAGCCATGCCTGACTGATCAATTACAGAGCTAATACCTTTTCCAGGGGTCAGTTTTAAGAGATGAATAATCCCTTTCAAACTTCCCAACCTGCAGCACGGGGAGAGACTGTTATTTGGTTTTCTGCAGTCCTCTTGGAAAGGTCAGAGTGCCCACAGTCCTTGGCTGCCCACAGTAACACACAGCAGTATATCCCAGACAATCCTCCAGGTGACCAACGACCTTTCTGCAGTAAACAGTCTGTGCAATACAGGTGCTCTCTTTCCTCCTCAAGAAAACAACCCTTTATTGACCCTGGACTTGTCTTTAAAAGGTAAGCAGAGCCTAAGCTGTCTGTCTCTCTGTCACCCACCAGTGCAAAGCAGATACCTGCATGCACATGTCAGCTCAGCTCCCTGCAGCATTTACTTCTTCTAACAGGCTTTTCTAGGTGTCATTTCAATTTGCTAATCCACCTCTTTTCCCTTCTGCACTCCGAGGAAACACAAGCACTCAGAGCACACGAGTGAGCGAGGCAAATACACCCCCCCAGCCTGACTCCTCAATCTGCAAACAGCTCCGGTGCCCCTCACACTCCAAAGGGTTTTCCCAAACAGCAGTGAAGTGGGAGACACCACAGCTGTGGGTTTCACACTCTATCTTTTAAACAGGAAAAGTCTGGCAGGGCTGCATTAGCACTTTCCACACATACCAGCCAAGAGAGTCATGACACACCCTCTTCTCTAGCTGAAGCATCCAGCAGCTTAGAGACTGGTGGGAAAGAGCGGATACAAGCTAGGATTCCTGCTCAGAATGGAGGGTCCTATGGAAAGCTGAAAGTTCCAAGCCTCTAGGCTGGGCATCAGCTCTGGGCATCTTTGATCATGCACTGGTTTTTCCTCCTGGCTTTCATCTAGGCTCGGGCAGATGGGGAAAAAAAAATACCAACAAATCCCATCCACATCCATCCTCCCTGTTATGGAGGTGCTGACCTGTAAGAATGGCCTAAGGGGAAGCAAAGAAAATAACAAAGCTTTTAGTACAAGGATAGTTTGGAACACATTTTAGCAAATTACAGGACTTAAAGCTCTGGAGGAAGGAGAGAAAAGCTACTTGCAGCTACTGCACACACTTTAAACTAGCCAGCAAACCCACTACCTGCCCTGCCAGCATCTCACATCACATGGAGAATATTTACTAATCCAGAGGCTGTATCATCACTGACTTCTGCCTTGCAGTTCTTTTTTTCTCCATCTGTTTCTTTTCATACAGCATTTGTCTTCTAACCTTCCAGATTTGTTTTCTTCATGTCTTTTTTGATTCACAAAAAAAAAAAAAAAAAAAGATACACCTTATCTCTTTCCCAGGCTGCACCACCCTCCCTTGTTTTGCACAGTCAGTCTCATATCTCAGCACCATATTTATTTTTCTCTCTCTCTGAATAAACAGAAGTGTAGGCACTTTTAAGGAATAAGGGCTCTGTTTGAAGAGTAATTAGCTGTCAGCATAAAACTAATATTTATGGATTCTCATCCTTGAAAACTCTAACTCTGCTACCCGGCACTGATTATGGCTGTTAGAAACAGATGGGGCTGAATCCATACAACTTGAAGTAATCCTACATTTAAAAAATAATTAACTACAAATAAAGGACCGAATGAACGCCGCTCGCTTTGCTAAATTTGATTTGCAGTTTGACTTGTTCGCACGGAGAGGAAGCTGGGTTATTCCCAGGTATGTCGTGCCGCCTGGAATACCTTGGAAGTGGGATTCTGCAGTGGATTCAAGCACACGCTCCCCAACTCCCAGTCCAAATGCCCCGGAGCTGAGATGCAGCAGGGAAGGATGGCTCAATTCCGCCTGGGATCATAAAGAAACCCAGCACCCCTGGGTGTGTTGTGTCTGGTTGCCTGGCACAGAAGTTGGAATTTTACCAGCCGTGCAGCCTTTGTTTTAGTGACTGACAGAGATACCGGGAGGGGAGCGTTAAAAAACTGTTTTTAAAACGCAGGTTGGAGCAGGTGAAAGCCCTCGGTGTGTTACTCTTTCTCCCCTCTTCAACCCTGGGGCAGCATCTTCGCTGAACGGCTGCACCTCCGCCAGAGCACAAACCCAGGAAATTTACACTCTGCTTAATTAAATCTGTGCTTTTTACTTATTGGCACCTCTTACTGGAGCAAAATTCCCTCCAAGTTGGTTATTCATCACAGCAAAAAGATACGACAAACACAATCGAATACTACACAGAGCCTATCGCTCCTGGTTAACTGGGTCACGGCCCGTCTGCGATGTTTGTGAGGCTGCCAGGCTTTTATGCACGAGCTGAGGGCACGAGGACAAATTCTCCCCTCACCCTCACCCCCCTGCAACCCCCTCCACGAGGTTATCCCGGCTCGGCGGGGTCACAGTGAGGGCAGCCCTCGGCTCCTTTTTAGTGGGTAACGATTCCTGTGCCAGTTCCACGAGGATTCAGAGGGACAGACCCCCCTGCTCCCCTCCAGCTCATGGGATGGCACATCCCATCCCATCTCATCCCATCCCATCCCATCCCCATGGACCAGCACAAGTTTTGTCCCCGTTTCTGCAGAGGTTCACATCGACTCCCCCCGGGGATGGAGCCTCTCATACAACCAGACACCTCCTGCCAAGCGAGTTTTTTTTTTTCCCCTAATAATAACCTAGCTGAAATTTAAATTTCCCTTTGCCTAATTTCAGCTCTTTAATTTCCAGTCACACCCCATCAGGCTGCCTTGACATTTCCTCTCCTGTGAGCGGAGGTGTGGGCGCCCACTGACAGGAACACGCCCTGGGAAAGGGACAACCCCAGCTCCTGCCACCTTCCTGGGGAAAGGGAAGGAGAAAGGGGGACAGGAGGGTTCTGTGGGAAATGAGGGTGAGGAGAGTGGAGGCAATGAGGGTACAAGGTGTTGAGGGGAGGTAAGGGCTGACTGAGGAGGTACACAGACAAGAGGGTGGACTGAGAGGGGGGGTTAGGACTGACTGAGAGAGGGGCATGATGTGAGAGGAGGATGAAGGCTGATTCTGGGGGACACAGCTTCAAGGGCTGACTGAGGGGGAACGTGGCCATGGAGGGAGGCGAGGGATGACTAAGAGGGGACATGGCTGTGAGGGGAGGCGAGAACTGACTTAGGGGGAACACGGCCGTGAGGGCTGACTGAGGGGGGACATGGTGTGAAAGGAGGATGAGGGCTTTACTCAGGGGTACCCAGCAGTGAGTGCTGATAGAGGGGTACCTAGCAGTGAGTGCTGGCTGAGAGCGCCGCGGGCGTTCCTCACCTCTTTGATCTTCATCCTGCGGGCGCGGGTCTCGGGGTCCTCTCCGGGCCGCCCGCCCCGCACCGGGTGCCGGAGGCTCCGGCGGAACCGCTCGTAGTCGAAGCGGAACGGAGCCCGCGTCTCCCGGGCAGGGGTGGCGCCGGTGGCGGGCTCGGCTCTCCCCTCGCCGCCCTGCACCTGCTGGCGGGCGCCGGGCGCGGTGCGGGCCGGCGGGCCGGCCATGCGGGCGGCGGTGCGGAGCTTCTCCCGCAGGCGGCGGGGGGCGGCGGGGCTGGCGTGGCGGGGCTCGGCGGCGGCGGGGGGGCTGCGGGGCAGGTCGGTGTCGCGGGTGGAGGAGGAGGAGGCGGAGGACGAGGAGGCGGAGGATGAAGAGGAGGCGGAGGCGGTGGCCCGGCGGGGTAGGAAGAGGCGCTTGAAGCGGGATGAATCGGGCAGGAGGAAGAGGGCCCCGAAGCAGAGCGTGAGCAGGCCCGAGAGGAAGAGCAGGAACAGGAACTTCTGCGGCAGCCGCAGCCCCAGCGCCGCCGGCCAGCCCGGCATGCCCGGCAGCTTCCGCAGCACCACCATGGGGCACCGGATCGCGGCCGCCGGGCGAGACCCGCCGCCGCCGCCGCCGCCCCGGGGAGCGCCGCGGGCTCCTGCGGCCAAAGGCTCAGCGGTGCCCGCCCGCACCACCGGCCGCCTTCACCGGGGACCGCACGTGGGTGGCTCCGGGCCGGGCGGAGCGGCGGCTCAGCGTCCCCCCTGCCGGCATGAAGGCGGCGGCGAGCGCATCCCGCCGGAGCCGGGCTGGGCTGGGCTGGGCTGGGCTGCTCCCGGCGGCGCTCCCCGCCGGACGGACGGACGGACGGACGGACGGACGGCTGCGGTGTGGGGCTGGCTCAGGCAGCGGCGCCGGCGAGGTGCGAGCCCGTCTCTCTAGGCGGTGGGTTCATGCTGCAGCATTTCTGCGGGGCGGGGTGGGGGGGGAGAGAGACAAGAGCGCGGTCATTCAACACCAACGAAGGATGCAGCCGGCGATACAAGGCTTTTGTCCCCTGCCGGTCCCCCGCCTTCCAGCTGCACTAGTTCTCTTTCCCTCTCTCCGGACTTGCCATCAACTCTCCAGTCCGCGAGCAGCTCCTGCTCTGCACCATCTCCCTTTCCAGCTCCGGGCTGCTGGGCTTGGCTGGTGGGGCAGCCCGGGGGTCAAGAGGGGCAGCGAGAAGCTCCTCCTGCTCCTCCCTGACGAGGAGCGAGAAGCCCGGGAGAGGCAGGATGCTCTGGAAGGGGCAGGATGCCCTGGGACATCCCGGGAGGACTAGGATACCCTGGGAGAGGCAGGGTGCCCTGGGACATCCCGGGAGAGACAGGATGCCCTGGAAGGGGCAGGGTGCCCTGGGACACAGCACGGACAGACAGGGACGAAGCTGCTCCGCTCCTCTCCAGGCTGCCAAGAGCTGCCTTCACCCGCGCAGGGCTGGGGGACGATGGGGCTGCAAACCAGCCATGCGGAAAGCTCGGCTCGAGCTGAGCTTCTTGAGGAAAAAAAAAGAAAATAATGGAAAAAATAATAAAAAAATCTACGGGTTTTGGTTTTGCTATAACAGATGCCGGCAAATTCCCTCTTTCTCCCAAATCTCTGCTCGGCTGTTAAAGTTATCCACATCCCCACACCAATCCCCTCCTTATGGGAGAGACAGAGCTCAACTTTCAGACCCTGAAAACAAACAGAACGCGGCTTAAAACCCCTACCCTACAAGCCCCAAACCCTCTTTCTCCTACGGGCAGGGACAGCGCTGCCCCCCCCAAACACGCCGCCAGCCCCGCTCGGCGGACGCTTTCCTACCCCCAGCCCTGTTTTACTCACCCCTCTGACAAATCCAAGCCTCTCCGGCTCCCACAGTGAGCAAAAAAAAAAATCTTCTCAGTCCTGCCCGCTCATCCCAAACAGCGAGAGCCCCTCTCTCGCTGCTGCCAGCGCTCAGTTAGGAAAGGGAAGAAGCTGGGCTCTCCGGGGGGACAGCTGCGCTCTCTCCCTCGCCACCCAGGCGCACGGGAGGGGAATGCCTAACTGCGCCGAGCTACTTGGATGCCTCTGCTTTCCACCTCGGAGGGGACCCGCGGGGCCGCTGTCGCCGCCCGGTGCCCCCTCACGGCAGCACCGCCCGCCGGTCACTGCGACAGCGCCGGGGCCACGCCCCCCCCGCCACGCCCCTCACCGCGCCCCCTCCCGCCAACGGTCACTCCGCCGCCCCCACCGACCAATCAGAGCGCAGCGCCCCTCCCGCCCTCGCTCGCTACTGGCTGCCTGGCCTAGCTTCCCCTTGCCTATTGGTTGTTGGGTATGTCAGTCAAGCCGCGCGGCCCGCCTCCTTGTTTACCACAGTTGCCCGGCTCCGGCTCGCGGCTCGGCGAGCCCCGCCCCTTTCATCCAGCGGCGGCCTCCCATTGGCTGCGAGGAACGCGGCGTGCCCGCTGTGATTGGCGGAGGGGGGCGCAGCTACTTTAAAAAGGGGCTGAGGGCGCCGGGGGGCTCCAGACGCTGTGAGGGCTCGGCAGGTGCTGGTTGGAGGCACCGCTGTTTTTCCCTCTCTTCGCACTCTGTGAGGGTTTTGAGGGGCGCGTTTACCCGGTACAGCCCGCTCGAGGTCTGGTGTGTGCCAGAAGGGCAGAACTCACAAGATGGGATTCGTACCCTGAGAGTGACATGGCCCTCAGTGCCTGGTAGGAGAAGGGGCCTCAGAGGAGGCAGGTTGGAAACCACCTTTCTGGGTTTTATGAGCCCGCAGCCAAATGCAATGAAGCACATCTGAACCCCGAATCCTTAAATCCTCACCCTTCACCTCCAAGGTACCACACCAAGTAGATTTGAGAGTGACCCTGTGAGGTAATACTGTAGCAGAGGGGAAGATGGTGAAACAAGGTTTCTACTCACAAACGTTACAAAAACAACCCCAACCAAAGCCAGAAGAATTAACACTGAAAGAGGGGAAAAAGGGCAACACTCAAACCCAGCAGCACCTGGAACAGCTGGATGGGTGGAATGGGGCACCAGAGGTGGGATTTGGGTGCCTTGGGTAGGACGAGGCCCCTAGGAAAGGGTAAACTCAGCCACCGGAGCATCGCTGTGACTAAACTTGGAAGAGCTAAAAGAGAACATTTTGTAGGCTGGAAAGGAGCTGGAGCTGAGAGGAAAGAAATCATCTGCTGTTTGTGTCTGCCTGCGCGCAGTATGTGCCTTCTGCACAAACAACCAACACCGCGGGGGAGAAATACCTGAGCTGATTGCAGGGCCTCAGACTTTGAACTGCTCAGCTGAGTATCAGAAACATAACTGTATTGTCATTTTCCTATGAGAAGCGCTTTAAGCAGGTAGCAGAGCCACTCTAGGAGCAGGATTCTGGAGCTGCTCCTGCCCCAGCCATACCCAAGCATCATCTTACCTTCACCTTCCTCCCCAGCCTCTGCAGGTTTTCATCTCATCAAAATAAACCTGAAAAGCCTTGTGCTTTTAGCTCTAGTGGCTGCCCACTGGACCTTGAACGCGGCCACCCCTCAGAGGCAAATTTGCATCTTGATTGTTTGGGTTTGAAATCGCCCTCTCAAGCGTCGCCTGCGGTTTGGAGGCAGGAGCTGGTGGAGCAGGAGGGAGATGCGGGCACCATTGCTCACCCACTGCGTTTGGTTTCCTCCGGAGCAGCTGCTGGAAGAACGCTCGGCACAGCTGCTCTCCCTTCCCTGCCCTGTAGCTGCACCGTGAGGGAGAGGAGGAGGAGGAGGAGACTGAGCTGCTTCATCTTGGCAGGTCGCACAGGAGCTCTCAGAGCACGGCAGATGCTCCACAGGCCCCTCAGAGCCCGAGGGAGCAGCTTGCGAAGGACGATTTGATTTTGCTACTTTGCCCGGCTCTTCACAAGGAGAAGGGGAGAACCCTGAGAGCCAGCTGCCAGTTCCAGTATTTTGAGCGTGGATGAAGTTTGGCAGGGCTTTTACTGCTGCCCTGCCTCGTGCAAGCCCCCAGGGAACAGCAGTAGCAACAGAGCATGGCTCCATGGGCTTCCATCAGCCCTTCTCCCCACACCTAACACCCGCCCCAACCTCAGACTGAATGAAAATAATCCTTCACCTCCCTCAAATCTCCTCTTTCCCTAGGGAGACCTCACACAGCAGGCTTGTCTCAGCCTTATAAAAAAAAAACAAAACAAACAAACACCAAATCCAAACCAACCAACCAAAACGCCACCAAACCAAACCCCTCCAACTATTCCCGGTGGTGGTCCCTTGATCCTCTTAGAGATGATGGCCCCAGGATGGGAAAGGTTAGATAGATAGCTCCGCTTCCTAAGAGGATTTGGGGGCATCAAGGAGGATAATAAAAATCGACAGCAGAGAACAAACCAGAGGGATAATAAACCAGACAGTTCTGAGCAAACGGAAGGGCTATGCCTCCCTCCTCATTTCGGGCAGCAGCGCTGGAGAAGTTGGAGGCTTATCTTTTAATTAGGTTAAATTAGGAAATCTTTTTGTTTTGCTTTGTGTTTAGCATAACATTGTCTTGGAGGTAAAAGCTCGGAGATGGAAGGTTTTCTAGATTAGGTTAAATTAAGATATTATGCTTCTTAAAGAAGACAAAGCATTGTCTTCAAGGTAAATGTTTAATTACATTTTTAAAACAATTTTGTCCATGTAATAATAAGACAGAGCCCAGCTCTGCCTGTGACTGTGGTTCCAGACAGAAGCCAAATAAATTGAGAAATTGGTGTTGAAGGAGTTAGGAGGCAGAGTGTAATTACTGGGAAGATGGGGGTCCTGCTGCATTATGGTTCTTGTTTTTAGCAGGTCTGGAAGAAATAATTTAGAGAAAATTACTTTTTTTTTTTTTATGGCCATAAGAAAAATAGAATTTAATATCCACCTTTCTATGAGGAAGAAAACTACAGAGTGATAGATAACACTCAAGGCAAAGGAGTTTGGCCCGATAATTGCACTCAACCCTCCAGACTATCTTTTAAAGAGTCTTGATGTTTATTTTGCTCTCACTGCAGAAAATGCTCCCGTTGTGGCTGCAGGAGAGGCCGGGATGTCTCGTGGTGCTGGAATAGCACTCCAGTTATTCCCCAGAAAGCCCTCTCTGGCTCTCAGAACCACTCCAGCTGGTGATTTTTAGGCATCACAGCCATGAAAGGATAGAGCAGGGGGATGGGAATAGAAGCTCTGTGGTGATGGCAGCAGGGTCAGAGCTGATGTGGTTCTGCGAAAGAAAAAGGAAGGGAAGAAAAGAAGGGGAAGGAGGGAAAGAGAAGGCAGAGGAAGGGAAAGGGGAGAAAAATCAACCCAACAACCCAGCCTTGTTCCACTGTAATGGAAAGGGATAGAACATCTAAAAGCATCCTCAGAACAGCACAGCCTCAGCATGTAAACCAGACACCCAAACTCCGTTGATAGCTACTACAAAGTACAGGCAGTGACAACGAAACCCTCTGGAACTGCCAGCTTTAGAGAGGAAGGGCTCCTTTACCTCCTGAGAGGAACAAGCGTGGCGCTTGACAGAACAAGGGGCCATCTCTGGAGGATTGCTGACACCTCACCGTGGCGTGGAGCCCAATTTGTGGCTCAGCTTTCTGCAGCCTCATCTGAGGAGCTGATGAGTCCCCCCCCACCCCTACTGGGAACGAAGGGAGCTCCTGCTGCGTGGGATGGACGTGGCTTGTTCCCACTTCCCACCCCGGGGCTCTTACTCACCCGTGGCCCCGTGGGGAACGTTTCGGGGAGGACAAAGCTGCTGAGGCATCTTCCCCCTCCCTGCAGCCCCAAGGCAGCTGCTCCCCACCTGCAGGCAGCCAGGCCTGATGTTATTCAGGTCTTAGATGTGTCAGTCCCCCTGCAGTTGTGATCAGATAAGGGGAAATCTATACATTTAAACCAGCTGATCCATTATGCAAACAACAGCCCCTCAACTTCTCCAAGCGGGGAGAGTGAGCAAAACAGTCCCCCATGGCCTGTAATGACTCAGGGCAGGAGAAATCTGTCTGGTATTGATTATTTTAAGGTTTTAGAAATACAAGCAGAGGGCATGAGGCTGTGGAGAAGCCTGGATAATTAAGAATCTCGTTATCTGCTCCCATGAACATGGGCTGCTGGGGTGTTTAACTTGGGAGAGTGTGCTCCTTACTCAGGGAACAGGGAGTGGGGGAGCATGACTGCTTAGATTAAACCATGTGCTGATGGATTACTGGGATTGTTTCCATGGGAATTATTCTAATAAAACACTAAAAGGCTAAACTGTAATAATAATCCAACAGGTGATGGCAATGTCACCTGTGCAGGGTGGACATATCAACGACAGAGAGGGTTTCCTCTTCCAACCTGCGCATGGTGTGAGAAAAGTTATATATAAAGTGGGTGATAAAGGCAGGAGAAGGGAGGAAAAGGAAGGAAAGGAAAGGATAAAGGTATAGAAAGACATGTTTAAGGCTTGGCTCTTTGGAGCAGCCTTTCTCCTCCTCCTCCAAATGATCCCATCAGCATTTAGTGACCATCCTGTGCTGCCCAGGAGGAGGTTTGCAGGTTGGAATTTATAAGAGTGGATAAGCCAGTGGTGGATTTTGCCCTGGTTTAATTCAGTTTGTGCTGTGCAGGAGGACAAATTTCATGTGATAATTTTAATGAGCTGAACAGGTAGAAAAATGGATATTTAGCCCCCCAAACCCTCAGAATTCAGAGGCAGCATCACACATATCTGCAGGTTTGGCTGCTTTTCTTTCAGCTCCACATTCAGGCATAGAAGATATTAATTATCTGAATTAAGACTCACATTTAGGGATGCACAGAAGCCTTGCTGAGAATTCCAACAGTTCTCTGCTGGCAGGAAACATTTGCACAATATAAACCCCACCACCTCAGCCAGACTTATATGTTATCTTAGAAAAAGGGGGAAAAAAATCCATTCACATCTGAGATAACAACCCGTTCCATGTCTCTTAAACCAGAACTGTGTAGGAACGAGCTTTCATCAGAGGGAGAATCTTGCTTAATTATGGTGAAGGTCTCAGCAATCTTCTGCGCCAGGGAAAATAGAAAACAAGCTAAAAAATAGTACAAAAGCAGAAACATAACAGAAGGTGCATGGAGGAAAGAGCAGAAACAGTTCTAGTTTATTACTTTCTTGTAATAACAGGTGACTAATGTAGCAGCC